TGGTTGTTCTGGTTGTTCTGGTCGTTCTGGTCATTCTGCTGTTTCAGTCTCTGGGTTTTCATTATATAGGATTTTGCCTATGTTTACCTTGAAATTTTACCAATTTTTCCTATTGTTCTCTTTCCAAATTGTTGTTTTTCTAAGTCAGTCTATTTGAATTTGCCTATTATAAATATTTCATGTAAATGGAATAATATAATCTGTTGTCTTTGAAATTGCCTTTTACACTTAGCCTGTTTTCAAGGTTCATCCATGTTATAAAATGATCACTGATTCATTTCTTTATATTACAGATAATATTTCATTGTTGGCCATTTAATTTCTTCCCCACTTTTTTATTATTATGAACAATGCTGCTATAATTATGATGTGACGATTCAGGTAAAGTTTTTGCATGGAAATTATTCCCACCTCCCCCTTGGTATATATCTAGGAGTGTAATTGTTGGGTTATATCTATGTGGGGTTTTTTGTTTGTTTTTTAGCCTTTCTACTGTGTATGAAGTAGAATCATTGCAATTTTGATTTGCATTTCCCCACTAACTAATGATATTAAACATTATTTCATGTGATTGTGAGGAAACTTGTGAATCTCCTATGGAACAATGTTTATTCAAATCTTTTGCCCATTATTAAATTGTTTACTTGTCTTTTTGCATTGAGTTGTGAACATTGGTTATATAATCAAAATACAATTCTCTTATCAAATATGTTATTTGGAAATATTTTCTCCCATTCAAGTGGGTTGTCTTTTCCCTTTTTATAATGCTGTCCTGGGAAGCACAAAGTTTAGTTCTGGTGAAGTCTTATTTATCTATTTTGTTCTTCTGTTGCTTGGTGTCATATCTGGTACACCTCTACCTAACCAGATCAGAAAGTCTGGCCCCTATGTTTTCTTACAGAGTTTGTTTGTTTGTTTTTAGAATTTTTCCTTTGGTTTATTTATTTATTTAGTTAGTTTTTTAATTGTTGACAGTATTACAGATGTACTCCATTTTCTCCCCCATTGCCTCCTTCTACCTAGTCCCTGCCCCACCCCATAGGTTATGGGTATATGCATATATGTTCTTTGGTATATACTACTAGCTCTTAGGTCTGTGATCCATTTTGCGTTAATTTTTGTATGTTAAGTAGGAATCCAACATTCTTTATTTGAATGTGGATATTCAGGTGTCTCATTTGTTGAAGAGACTATTCTTTCTTCATTAAATTTTCTGACACACTTGTTAAAAATGAGTTTAGCAGAAATGCAGGTGTTTAGTTGTGAACTCTAATTTCTATTCCATATATATATATGGTCTGTTTATGCCAGTATCATACTGCCTTTATTACCACAGCTTTGTAATAAGTTTTGAAGTTGGGGAGAATGGATGTTCTTATTTTCTTTCTTTCTTTCTTTCTTTCTTTCTTTCTTTCTTTCTTTCTTTCTTTCCTTATTTATTTATTTCGTTTTATTGTTAATCTTCATTGGAGGATATTTTTTCCGTTGATTTTAGAAAGAGTAGAAGGTAAGGGTGAGGGGGAGAAACTAGAGAGAGAAACATCGATGTGAGAGAGCCATGTCAATTGGTTGCCTGCTGCACACTCCCCAACTGGGGCAGGGAACCTGCAACCCAGTACATGCCCTGGAATTGAACCTGAGACCCTCCAGTTCATGAGCCAACACTCTAACCACTGAACAATGATGGCCAGTGATCTTTGTTCTGTTTTATTAAGATTGTTTTGCATATTCTGGGTTCCTTGCAATTACATATGAATTTGAGAATCAACTTGTCAATACCTGTAAAAAAAAATCAGCTGGCATTTTGAAAGGGTCTGTGCTGAATCTGTAGATCAATTTGAATTTATTGCTATCTTAACAATATTACATCTTCTGATCCATGAATATGTATTATAAAAGATATAAACAAGATTTTTTTACTATAACATGATATGTTCCAGAAGAAAAAGGTTTAATATCATATAAATGTCAAATTTGAGAATCTACACTAATAAAAGAGAAACATGGTAATTAGTGTACGACCGCTACCCTTCCCATTGGCTAATCAGCATATCCTTATGCAAATTAACTGTCAGCCAAGATGGCGGCCGGCAGCCAGGCAGCTGGAAGCGAACATGAGGCTTCCTTGCTTCAGTGACTGCAGACTCCAAGGTTCCCCGCCTCACTTGCCGGCCTCTGAGTTGCAAATCTAATCAACTATGTACTATGTTGTAAATAAGAAGCTAAACAAAACCCTAGAAACCAGCTTTCAACCTGCCGGGATCTCAGAGCTGAAGTTATACATTGTTTCGATTATAGAATGGCAAACAAACCAGATACGAAGCCTCAGAGCTAGAGCCAGAGCTAAAGCTGGCCCAGAATAAAATAAAAAAAGAGAAAAAAAAGGAGCGGTTGGGAGCTTCAGTCAACAACCGCCAGCCTGAAAGCAGCCCTCAGCCCCTCACCCAGACTGGCCAGGCACCCCAGTGGGGACCCCCACCCTGAAGGGGGTGTGACCAGCTGCAAACAGCCATCATCCCCTCATCCAGGCTGGCCAGGCACCCCAGTGGGGACCCCCACCCTGAAGGGGGTGTGACCAGCTGCAAACAGCCATCATCCCCTCATCCAGGCTGGCCAGGCACCCCAGTGGGGACCCCCACCCTGAAGGGGGTGTGACCAGCTGCAAACAGCCATCATCCCCTCATCCAGGCTGGCCAGGCACCCCAGTGGGGACCCCCACCCTGAAGGGGGTGTGACCAGCTGCAAACAGCCATCATCCCCTCATCCAGGCTGGCCAGGCACCCCAGTGGGGACCCCCACCCTGAAGGGGGTGTGACCAGCTGCAAACAGCCATCATCCCCTCATCCAGGCTGGCCAGGCACCCCAGTGGGGACCCCCACCCTGAAGGGGGTGTGACCAGCTGCAAACAGCCATCATCCCCTCATCCAGGCTGGCCAGGCACCCCAGTGGGGACCCCCACCCTGAAGGGGGTGTGACCAGCTGCAAACAGCCATCATCCCCTCATCCAGGCTGGCCAGGCACCCCAGTGGGGACCCCCACCCTGAAGGGGGTGTGACCAGCTGCAAACAGCCATCATCCCCTCATCCAGGCTGGCCAGGCACCCCAGTGGGGACCCCCACCCTGAAGGGGGTGTGACCAGCTGCAAACAGCCATCATCCCCTCATCCAGGCTGGCCAGGCACCCCAGTGGGGACCCCCACCCTGAAGGGGGTGTGACCAGCTGCAAACAGCCATCATCCCCTCATCCAGGCTGGCCAGGCACCCCAGTGGGGACCCCCACCCTGAAGGGGGTGTGACCAGCTGCAAACAGCCATCATCCCCTCATCCAGGCTGGCCAGGCACCCCAGTGGGGACCCCCACCCTGAAGGGGGTGTGACCAGCTGCAAACAGCCATCATCCCCTCATCCAGGCTGGCCAGGCACCCCAGTGGGGACCCCCACCCTGAAGGGGGTGTGACCAGCTGCAAACAGCCATCATCCCCTCATCCAGGCTGGCCAGGCCCCAACTCCCCAATCGGCCCTGCTCTGAGCCTGACCAGGGGCTGCACCTAGGGATTGGGCCTGCCCTCTGCCACCCGGGAGTAGGCCTAAGCCAGCAGGTCGTTATCTCCCGAGGGGTCCCAGACTGCGAGAGGGCACAGGCCGGGCTGGAGTCCCCCTCCTCCCTCCCCTGAGTG